GCCGCCACCGCCGCCACCGCCGGCCGCCACCGCCGCCGCCGGTCGCCGGAAAATATGCTGCGACCGGAAAATCGTTTACATCATTGGAAAGATCTCTTCGAGGGGAATCTACCCTTAAAATTTCATGCAAAACTTCCTCCGGGAAGGCCATCAATTTCGCGGTCAAATTTTCTAGATCTAAGAAAAATTTGGTCAAAATCAGACATTCATAGGCATTTTCCCGACGATCCGGGAGGGCTATGAAAAATTTCAAGGGTACCACCGGAATCCTCTCGACGAGACGAATCTCCAGCTACCGATCTTCGCCGGAAACAGCCGCCGCCTCCGCCACCGGCCGCCGTCAAAAGTTGCACGATCTAAAATAATTCTTACACCATCGCGAAGATCTCCTCACTTGTTCTACCCTTAAAATCTCGAGCAAAAATTCCTCCAGGAAGTCGATCAATTGGTCGGTCAAATTTCTTGAATCTAGAGTAATTTGGTCAAAAGTCGGTTACCTTCTCCATTTTTCCTTCAATTTCCGGAGGATCACTTCGAACCATGGGCACCACTGTCGTCTCCTTGTCGGGGCGCGCATGTAGATGGTGTTTTTCACTGGATCCGACAAAGTCTTAGCCGGCGTCTTTTCCTCCGGCGAGACAGCTGCGCCAAGCTCTGTGCTCAGTGCACTCTGATTCCAGCAGTCCATCGCCGGCCCAGCGCGCAGACAGGCCCACCTTCCATCTATCCCTCAGCCCACGCAATACCAGCGAAGCCCAGCGACAGTTTCATTGACGAGGCCCAGCAAGCAGCCCAACAAAGAAGGCCATGCGAACGGTTGGCCCAGCACCCATTTGCTTTAGCGCGCGGGCCGCGCTCCAGCCCGCGCGGCCCGTTCCCCTCTCAGACTTTGGCCCGTAAAGCCCGCGCAAGGCCCGCGCTTCAGCTTGCATGACGCCCAGTTTTTCAGCCCGCGCTTGGCCCGCGCCAGGCCCGAGATACAGTTTGCGTACTCCCTTTGCTGAGCCCGCGTGAAGCCCAGATCCGGCCCGTGAGCGGCCCACTCGCCCTGCCCCCTTCAGCGCCCCAAATGTGCGGCCCAACAGTGCCACCCACGGCCCAACAGCCTAAAAATAGCCCAGAATGGTACCAATTAGGTCTAACAGCTCCATTTTGTGCCCAATACGAACCCGGGACGATTCAACGCGCACGGGAGGTAATTTGAGATAATATTCTCATGAAGAAGGTATGGAGATAATTTAAATTTTAAGCTTAAGGAATCTAAATTGGCAAAAATTGGATGAATTATTTGATTTGCACGAAGTGATATTTGATTGGGTCGAGGGATTATTGAATTCGATCGTGGAGGCGTTTAATTCATTTGTGGAGAAATACTTGATATATCAGTGGAGAATATGTGATATATTCGTGTATATATGTGACTTATTCGTGGACATTATTTGACTTGTTCGAGGAGACATTATTTCAAACATTCATGGAAATTATTTGACGCGGCCGTTTGTGTAATTGTGTAATGTATTTGAGGAGGCTATTTGATCTATTCGTAGAGGATTATTTGATTTGCTTGAGCAATTATTGGGTTTATTTGTGGATGATTATTTGATTTATTCGAGGAGAATATTTGATTCATGCATGGAGGATTATTTGATTTGCTCGAGCGATTATTGGATTTATTTGTGGATGATATCTCTTTGAATTTCTGTCGAGGAAACAACAAAGTAACCCATGTCTTGACAAGCTATGGCGTACGAGCAGTTGAGTGTCGAGGAGAAAATGAACAGATCCATAAAAGTAGGATGATAATGAATGACGAGCCTAGATGATGTCGATCACCGGTGGCAATCTCAAAGGCAGAAATCATTCTCTTGTAGAGAGGTAAGACAATTTGGAGTGGTATTTTCAACCGTCAGGTACAAAACTATTCTCAACTCTTGATTTGGTGGTCGAGTTTGATCGACACACATAATTGTTTGAATATTCTGGCGAAATTGATGGAATGCTGAGATACATGGGCATGGTTGGATCATTATTTGGATGACTAACAAAATTATTGAGTGTTATTATATCTTGTTGTGTTCGATGTTTTCCTTTTCGACCTTAGTGGCAGGTCGAAGAATTCGAGCACAAGTCGTCGTGTACAACCAGGAAAGGGAGGTCGAATACATTGGATATTTTTTATCTCGTTCAACGCAACTATGCATTTGATGATACTAACGAAAATGATCAATTATTATCATATCTGTTTGCTCGATGTGTTCCTATTTGACCTTAGTGGCAGGTCGAAGTGTTCGAAGAAAGAAACCGACCATGACTAAGGCCTTCGGGCTGGGTGGTCGCTTGTTTGGAACATCCCTTGGGGTGGGCAGGTTGACCGTATACTCGCGCCTCCGGGCCCGGTGGCCTCCTGTTTGGAACATTCCTCATGGGTGGCCAAGTGTGAAGACCAAACCCACCATGACTAAGGCCTTCGAGCTGGGTGGTCGCTTGTTTGGAACATCTCTTGGGGTGGGCAGGTTGGCCGTGTACTCGCGCCTCCGGGCCGGGTGGCCTCCTGTTTGGAACATTCCTCGTGGGTGGGCAAGTGTGAAGACCAAACCCACCATGACTAAGGCCTTCGGGCTGGGTGGTCTCTTGTTTGGAACATCCCTTGGGGTGGGCAGGTCGGTCGTATACTCAAGACTCCAGGCCGGGTGACCTCCTGTTTGGAACATTTCTCATGGGTGGGCAAGTGTGAAGACCAAACCCACCATGACTAAGGCCTTCGGGCTGGGTGGTCGCTTGTTTGGAACATCCCTTGGGGTAGGCAGGTTGGCCGTATACTCGCGCCTCCGGGCCGGGTGGCTTCCTGTTTGGAACATTCCTCGTGGGTGGGAAAGTGTGAAGACCAAACCCACCATGACTAAGGCCTTCGGGCTGGGTGGTCGCTTGTTTGGAACATCCGTTGGGGTGGGCAGGTTGGTCATTTACTCGCGCCTCCAGGCTGGGTGGCCTCTTGTTTGGAACACTCCTCGTGGGTGAGCAAGTGCGAAGACCAAATCCACCATGACTAAGGCCTCCGGGCTGGGTGGTCGATCCTAGTGTTGGGTCGTGAAGACACGGATAGTTCGAGCAGACCTCAGAGGCAAGTCGAGGATTTCTATTCGGGTCTATTTGATCTGGTATTATTGTATATTTGTTCCTAACCCAGTGGCAGGTTGAGGGAAGACAAAATCCACCATGACTAAGGCCTCCGGGTTGGGTGGTCGATCCTAGTGTTGGGTCGTGAAGACACGGATAGTTCGAGCAGACCTCGGAGGCAGGTCGAGGATTTCTATTCGGTTCTATTTGGTCTGGTATTATTATATATTTGTTCCTAACCTCAATGGCAGGGTGAGGGAGTTCATTATGGATGATTCAGGCAGTACAAAGACAAAATCCACCATGACTAAGGCCTCCGGGCTGGGTGGTCGATCCTAGTGTTGGGTCGTGAAGACATGGATAGCTAGAGCAGACCTTGAAGGCAGGTCGATGATTTTTTCTTGGTTATATTTGGTTTGTTATCATTGTACATTTGTTCCTAACCTAGTGCTAGGTTGAGGGAAGACAAAATCCACCATGACTAAGGCCTCCGGGCTGGGTGGTCGATTCTAGTGTTGGGTCGTGAAGACACGGATAGTTCGAGCAGATCTCGGAGGCAGGTGGAGGATTTCTATTCGGTTCTATTTGGTCTGGTATTATTGTATATTTGTTCCTAACCCCAATGGCAGGGTGAGGGAGTTCATTATGGATGATTCGGGCAGTACGAAGACAAAATCCACCATGACTAAGGCCTCCGGACTGGGTGGTCGATCCTAGTGTTGGGTCGTGAAGGCATGCATAGCTCGAGCAGACCTCGAAGGCAAGTTGATGATTTCTTCTTGGTTATATTTGGTTTGTTATCATTGTACATTTGTTCCTAACCTAGTGGCAGGTTGAGGGAAGACAAAATCCACAATGACTAAGGCCTCCGGGCTGGGTGGTCGATCCTAGTGTTAATTAACGGATTTATTTGATTTGGTTTCGTGCTATTGTGCCTCTGACCTCAGTGGCAGTTTGATCAAACTCGCTACGGATAGCTTGAGCAGGTTAACGGTTTTATTTGATTTGGTTTTGCTGTATTTGTGATTTCGATCCCAGTGGCGAGAGTTTATTATGGCTAACATGAGCAGATGGATGGTTTTATTTGTTTTGGTTCTGCTGTATTTGTGATGAGATTCATTCCGTCACGAGCAGGTTGACTGCGCTTTATTTGATTATGCTCCTGTCGAATTGATTTTTCGACTTCAGTGGCGGGTCGAGTATATTCATTATGGCTTGAGCAGGTTGATTGCGCTTTATTTGATTATGCTTCTATCGAATTGATTTTTCGACTTCAGTGGCGGGTCGAGTATATTCATTATGGCTTCAGCAGATTGATTGCGCTTTATTTGATTATGCTTCTGTCGAATTGATTTTTTGACTTCAAGGGCAGGGAGATGAGATTCATTCTGTCACGAGCAGGTTGATTGCATTTTATCTTGGTTTTGTCGAATAGATTTTTCGACTTCAAAGGCAGGGAGATGGGATTCATTCCGTCATGAGCAGGGCAGGGAGATGAGATTCATTCCGTCACGAGCAGGTTGATTGCATTTTATCTTGGTTTTGTCGAATTGATTTTTCGACTTCAAAGGCAGGGAGATGGGATTCATTCCGTCATGAGCAGGTTGATTGCTCTTTATTTGATTATGCTTCTGTCGAATTGATTTTTCGACTTCAGTGGCGGGTCGAGTATATTCATTACGGCTCAAGCAGGTTGGTGGTTGATTTATTTTTCAAAGGAATATACAACAGGCTTGAATCTTAAACTTTGAACTGAGGGGTGATAGGACGAGGTGGTATAAGGGAGCTCGAACATGGTGATCGAAACACAACAGACGTAAATTCAAATTTTCAAATTCAAGACTTCGGTCAACGGTCTCTCGATTCTCGGTTTTCGACCTCAGCGGTCTCGACTCTTGGTTTTTTACCTCAACAGCCTCTCGACTCTTGGTTTTCGACCTCAGCGGTCTCGACTCTCGGTTTTTGACCTCAACGGTCTCTCAACTCTCGATTTTCAACCACAGCGGTCTCGACTCTCAGTTTTCGACTTCAGCTGTCTCGATTCTCAGTTTTCGACCTCAACGGTCTCGACTCTCGGTTTTTGACCTCAACTGTCTCGACTCTCGGTTTTCGACCTCAACGGTCTCTCGACTCTTGGTTTTTTACCTCAGCGGTCTCGGCTCTCGGTTTTCGTCATCAACGGTCTCTGAACTCTCAATTTTCAACCTCATTGGTCTCGACTCTTAGTTTTCGACGTCAACGGTCTCGATTCTCGGTTTTCGACCTCAACGGTCTTGACTCTCGGTTTTTTACCTCAACAGTCTCTCGACTCTTGGTTTTCGACCTCAGCGGTCTCGACTCTCGCTTTTCGACCTCAACGGTCTCTCAACTCTCGATTTTCGACCTCAGCGGTCTCGACTCTCAGTTTTTGACTTTAGCGGTCTCAATTCTCAGTTTTCGACCTCAACAGTGTCGATTTTCGGTTTTCGACCTCAACGGTCTCGACTCTCGGTTTTTGACCTCAATTGTCTCTTGACTCTTGTTTTTCGACCTCAACGGTCTCTCGATTCTCGGTTTTCGACCTCAGCAGTCTCGACTCTCAGTTTTCAACCTCAACGGTGTCGACTCTTGGTTTTTGACTTCAACGGTCTCTCGACTCTCGGTTTTCGACCTCAACGGTCTCTCGATTCTCGGTTTTTGACCTCAACGGTCTCTCCACTCTTGGTTTTCGACCTCAGTGGTCTCGAATCTCAGTTTTCAACCTCAACAGTCTCTCAACTCTTGATTTTCGACCTCAGCGGTCTCGACTCTCGGTTTTTGACTTCAGCGGTCTCGATTCTGAGTTTTTGACCTCAACAGTCTCAATTCTCGGTTTTCGACCTCAACGGTCTCAACTCTTTGTTTTTTACCTCCACGGTCTCTCGACTCTCAGTTTTTGACCTCAACGGTCTCTCGATTCTCGGTTTTCGACCTCAGCGGTCTCGACTCTCAGTTTTCGACCTCAACAGTCTCGATTCTCGGTTTTCGACCTCAATGGTCTCGACTCTCGATTATCGACCTCAACGGTCTCTCGACTCTTTGTTTTCGACCCCAGCAGTCTCGACTCTCGATTTTTGACCTCAACGGTCTCTCGACCCTCGATTTTTGAACCCGACGTCAGATCATTTGATTTCCGACCTCCGTGGTCTTTCGGTTTTCGATCTTGAAATCTCAATGCTCATTTGGGGGATATTTCAGTGGTTATTCGATGGTCATTCGACTTTCGATGCTCGATCTTAGTGGCAAGTTAAAGAAAACAGCTCGAAGAGGCATTTCACTCTTGGATCGAGTTATGCTTACTCGACCACAGTGGTGGGGGACTAGATGATATATGATATTATACTACACCCGGTTTAATGGAGAAAATGAATATATATTGGAAGATAAGCCCACGTATGAACTAAGCATCACGATATGGGTCAAGCCCAACTTGAGCCCACAAAGGTACACTCCCCCTATAAAAGGGGGGCTAAGGTACCTCATTCCTTCATTCTCTATTCATTTTTACTACACTCTCTCTCTCTCTCTCTCTCTCTTAGGCATCGGAGGCCTGACGCCGGGGCTACCCCCGGCGTTGGGTTCTACAGGTACGGAGGCCGTTCGAGTTGAAGGAGTCGGGTGAAATTCATTACACTCGTATTAATATTATCAAAGCTAGAGCTCGTTAATTGCATTTTTATTATACTATAACTTAATCCACCTGTAGGGTTTAGCATAATAATCATTCATGAAATCACTTCGGGGACATCATCAAAGTAACGCACATGGTGACCGTAAATATCCTAGCAGCACATCCTACATACAACATGATATAGGATATCATACCTACTAGGCTAAACCGGTCAAAGAGGATATAACCGAGCCAAGTGGCAGAAAGATTGAGCAGTCAAACAGTGGACCAGTCTATGGCTCGACCAGATAGGCGATCGAGCAATCGAGTAAAGTAGTCGACCTCAGTGGGTCGACCACTTCGAGGACTTAATGCTACAATGATCGGCCTAGTCACAGGCGCGTGGGGGAGCCTCTAGCCGAATTTCAAGAGAATATTTACCCATGTGCAGGGGGACACGTGTTGAAAATGCAGTGGTTGATAGCACTAACCACCTCTGACACCCTACCCCATGTGCAGGAGGACACGCGTCCAAAGAGTATTGGCGCAGGCGATAGTGGCGACGGCTACCTCTGACACACGCGTATTGTGTGTACGGACGGGCAGTTAGGGCAGACAGCTCACCAAATCCGGGCAGCCCTAGGTCAGGTATCTCACCCCTATATAAAGGGGGTGAGCCTTTCTTCTCCAACACGATCATTCTATTACTTACTCTTGAGAATTGATTTGATATACACTGACTTAAGCTTCAGAGGCTCTTCACCGGAAAACTCCTCTGGTGTGAGAGTTCTTTGTAGGTGCACGACGTTCAACCGGCGAGAAAGAAGGCGATTATTCAAGTTCCAGCCGGTCGGGAAGTTTTGTGTTACCATTTGGCGCCGTCTGTGGGACTTTCGTTTGAGAAGTTGTGTTTGAAGCTCAGCTATGGCGGACGGAATCCCCAAAAACTTGCAGTCGACGTTCGACGACGCTTGGACGACGATCAGGCCATTTGGACAAGGTCCTCCTTCGGGTTTTTCTGGCCCATCGAAGACGCCGATCACTCCTACACCTGTCCTTCAAGGTGTGGGAGCGACGACAGCAATTCCCGGAGGAGATGCCGACTCCAATCGGGCTCAGGAAACTCGCGCAGCGGCTGCGGTGGCGATGCCACCACCGCCACCCCAAAATCCCGTGGTGGCGCAACCAGGAGGAACGGTGGCGCAAGGAGGAGAAACGACGGGGCAAGGAGGAACACTACCGCAGGCAGCAGTGCAAGTCCCCGGCCAGCAGGTGGTGATGACCAGACAGGAGATGCAACAAATGCTGGCGGAGGCAGCTGCGCAGGCGGTGCAACAAGTCACAAACAGTCTCTCTCGGGCTACCACGGTGCTGACCACTGTTGCAGGGTCACGCCAAAATGCAGAGGAGGATGAATCTAGCTATGGTGGAGGCGGGCCCCCACATGATCGAGAAATGGAGAGAATGGCGGAGCAGCTGCGTCAATTGCAGGCCAAGGTGGATTGTCGAACAAGAGACGCGCTCGAGGACACCCGTTCTCGACGGACATACTAGCAGCACCCTTGCCAACCAACTTCAAGGATACCAAATTGGTGTTCGATGGAACTTCTGACCCGTCGAGGCATGTGAGAACGTTCTAAAATATGGCTGTGTTACATGGATACACTGACCCCGTTAGTTGCAAGGCATTTTTATCGACCCACAGGGGAGGAGCCCTCGATTGGTTCCAGTAGCTCCCCCCAGGCTCAATTGCAGACTTCGAGGATTTCGCGGAGAAGTTGACGAATCAATATTCGAGTGCGGTGGCTCATAAAAAGACGTACTTAACCCTGATGGCGATGAGGCAAGGCGAGAAGGAGTCACTGCGCAAATACGTAGCCCATACAACCAATGCTAGGAGATCCCGTCGGCGGTCGATGAGGTCAAGGCGGGAGGGTATTAGAAGTTTACGAGTGGGGCTATGTCAGACCTCTCTGGCCAAGACTCCGGCTCATACTTATGATGAGGTGTTGAGAAGGTGTAGAAAATATATTAACCTCGAGGAGACCGAGGCGGAGTTTGCCAAACTCGAGGAGTTAGGTCGCATGGAGCCGAGGAAGGAGAAAGCGGTTTTGCCCAAAAATAGAGCTTTGCCCAGGAGAGAAGGGCGAACTAAGCAGGATCGGGGACGCGAGGACAAATGGAAGGACTGGCCTATCTCTAGAGTAAAGAGATTTCATGATTATACCCTGTTGAATGCGAAGGTAGCTGAGGTCTTGATGGCTATGGAGAAGGGGATAGATGGAAAAGATGTGACGTGGCCGAGGTTGAGGTTCAAAGGGCCAACTCAACTGAAATCGAGGAGATATTGCCGCTTCCACAAGGATTATGGCCATACTACTGAGGATTGTCAACATCTCAAAGACGAAATAGAGCGCCTTATCCGAGCAGGGCATCTCAAGGAGTCGTTTATCAGGATAAGATAAGGGGGAAGGAGAAGAGGAGGTGTCGGGAAGAGTCGGTGGAGAGAAGTGATGAAGATGATGAAGAGGATCCACGAGGTGGTCGAGATGGTCGAAAGAAAGATGAGTGGAAGAGGAGGCGAGGAAGTAGAGAACGAGAGAGACAATGAGAGGGAGGCCAGGTGAAGAGAGGCACGATATATATGATTTCAGGAGGACCGACAGACGGAGACTCGAATAATGCTAGGAAGGGTCATGTTCGAGCGATGAAGAGGAAAGAGAGGAGGTGGGTATCACGGCCCGAGTACCAGAAATTAGTTTTTGGGTAGAGGATGCAGCATGGGTGGTGATACCTCATAATGATGCCTTGGTGATTATGGCAGAAGTTGCAGGTTTCGATGTAAAAAGGGTGTTTATAGACACAGGAAGCTCGATCGATGTCATGTTTTATGATTGCTTTGTGCAAATCAATCAGGAGTTGAATGTGGAGTTGAAGCCGGTGGCTACGGCCTTGTATGGTTTTAATGGGGGAGAGGTTATGCCGATGGGGGAAGTGAGTCTATCTGTAGCCCTAGGAAAAGGAGCGACCCAGATAGTTCGAATGGTAAGATTTGTGGTCGTAGGAGCTGAATCATCTTACAACATCATAATGGGAAGAACGAGCTTGAACGCGTTCCAGGCGGTCGTATCCACGTACCACATGACGATAGAGTATCCAGTGGGCGAAAACGTTGGTGAGATCGCTGGGGATCAACTTACCTCGAGGAGCTGCTACCAGACCACTGTGAGCAATAACAAACAGCTAGCAAGGAGGTAGACGCGACTAAAAGAAGAGGAGGTTGGTCGACCGGGAGGGTCGAGATCAAAGGAAGAAGGGCACAGGTTGGAGAAGGGTAAAGATAAGGTAGACATTCAGCCAGTAGGCGAAGTGGAGGAGATCCAGATGATTGAGGGGTGTGAAGAGAAAAAGTTTCGAATCAGAAAGGAATTGGGGGAACCAGTGAGATCGAGGCTGATTAGTATGATAAGGGAATTTGCGGATGTGTTCGCATATTCGACGGAGGAGTTGACTGGTATCAAGGCTGAAGTTATCGAGCACCGGTTGAATATCGACCTCACTGTGAGGCCGGTGAAGCAAAACAAGAGGCATCACGGGGCAGAAATGGATAAAGTGATCGAGCTGGAAGTAGAAAAGCTCTTGGTGGCAGGCCACATAAAGGAGATCCAATTCCCGGAGTGGCTGTCGAACACGGTGATGGTCTCAAAGTCAAAGGGGAAGTGGCGGATGTGTATAGACTTTCGGGATTTGAATAAGGCATGCCCGAAGGACTTATATCCATTACCCAAGATCGACCAGTTGGTCGATTCCACGGCCGGATGTGAGCTACTCAGCTTGATGGATGCGTCGCAGGGCTATCACCAAATCCCGCTGGCGCGGGAAGATTGGAAAAGGGTCAATTTCGTGACAAGCCGAGGGACCTATTGCTATGTGGTAATGCCATTCGGTCTAAAAAATGCAGGAGCAACATATCAGAGATTGGTGGATAAAATCTTTAAGGAGCAGCTGGGGAGGAACATGGAGGTGTATGTGGACGATATGTTGGTGAAGAGCAAAGAGGAGATCGATCACGTGAACGACTTGAAAGAAACATTCATGACCCTGCGGAAATACGGAATGAAGCTGAATCCTGCTAAATGCTCATTTGGGGTCAAATCCGGGAAGTTTCTGGGCTACATGGTCACAAAGAGGGGAATCGAGGTCAACCCGGAGAAAGTAAGAGCGGTGGTCGAGATGCAACCCCCCACGAAGGTGAAGAAGGTGCAGATCTTAACTGGTCGAATAGCGGGCTTGAGCCGTTTTATCTCTAAGGTGGCTGAGAAGAGTGGGCCCTTGTTCAAAACACTCAGGAAAAGCTCGAAGTTTCAATGGACAGAAGAAGCCCAGAAAGCATTCGAGGAGTTATAGAAGGTGCTAGTCGACCTGCCACTGTTGGCAAAACCGGTGCAAGGGGAGGACTTGGTGTTGTATATGTCCATTGGTGAGATGGCAGTGAGCTCAGTGTTACTGAGGGAGGAAGGGACAGCCCAATTTTCGATTTATTACGTAAGCAAGGTGATACAAGGGGCGGAGAGGAGGTATTCAGAGATCGAGAAGGGTGCCTTGGCGGTGGTCGTCACTGTCAGAAAACTGAGGCCATATTTCTTGGGACATAAGGTGAAAGTTCGGACGAATATGCCACTGGGAGAGACGTTGGGTCGACCCTCCATCTCTGGTCGATTAGTCAAGTGGGTCGTCGAGCTGAGTGAATACACGATTATTTATGAGCCGAGGAGGGCGATTAAGGCTCAGGCACTGGCCGATTTTATACAATAAGGGACGAAGGAAGACGAGGAATCTGAAGGAGTATGGTAGGTGTACGCGGACGGATCGGTGTCAAGGGCCGGAGGTGGCCTAGGCATTGTGCTTATATCGCCAAAGGGTGACAGCCTCGAGTTTGCAGTTAGAGTGGCGTACCAGGTATCAAATAATGAGGCGGAGTACGAGGCAGTCATTAAGGGACTCAAGTTGGCCCTAGCCGGCGGAGCTCGAAAAGTGCAATTTCAAGAAGGATTTGAGATCAGGGAGGAAAGGATGGTAAAGTATGTAGAGGAGATGAAGAAACTACAGGAGGAGTTTGATTCATTCGAGTTTAATACAAGTCTCGCACCCCGACTGGCTGGAAATTGTCTCAAGCTCGTTCTCCTCGCCGGTTGAACACGGAACCTGCACGAAACTCCCACACCGGAGGTGTTTTCCGGTGAAGAGCCTCCAACGCTCAAGTCAGATCTTGAGAGAGAAAGTATATGAGTGAATATGTGAGAGTATGAAAAAAATTGTATTGTAAAGTGAGGATTCTCGTCCCTATTTATAGGGACGAGCTACTTGTTCTACACGCGCGGGTAGGGTGAGTTCGGCCAACCGTCCTCTGCTCGTCCGTACAACCGCGCGCCTCCACTATCCTTGTCGTCAGGGAACGCGTCCAATTTGTCAGGGAATGTCAGAGTTCGTTATAGCCATGGGCCACTCATAGGATGCCGCGTGTCCTCCCTTCATGTGCTGGAGATTTTTTTGTGCATTCTGCTGCTCGACCAAATCTGTGCGATCGCGACCTATCCGACCATCCTCTATCAACCAACTCCTCGAGTAACCAGTGTCTGTCGACCACTTCTGAACCCATTTGTCTCTGTTGTCTGCTCTCTGTCCTTCATTGTAGGTGTCTGGTCCGGTTCGACCATATCATTTGACCCGTCTTATTTAGGTAACCCAACGAACTGGTCTATTTTCTGCGGTTAGCCCAACAAACCGGTCTAGTATATAATATCCCATATCATCTAGTCCCCCCACTCTGGTCGAGTCTAAATGACTTGATCTAAGAGTAGGCTTTGGTCTATGTCGAGGAGGTTCTGCTTCTTTGTTTTCGACCACCTGACCTATTTCCTTCTTTTGCGCGTCTATTTTCTTTTCTAACTGCCACTTTGCGCTTTTTGAATTTCAAATTTCGCCACTTGTCCGCCCTTTTGGGATGCGTCTTTTCGCATGCTCAGAAGTCATGATAACCTCGTGGCCCATGTTGCCTCGAGTCTCGCACCCACTCCTGCGCCTCTCTCTTTCCTGTCGTTGGATTTCCTCCTTTAATCCTACGGCTCGGGACTAGGTGTCTGTTCGCCTTCTCCCTGATTGCAGCCCTTCATTATTTACGATCCTACGGTCGGCAATTTCTCCCATTCACTTTTTGCCCTTATAAATATCCATACTTAATGAAATTTTTCCCTTCTCTTCACTATCGCATTCCATCGTACTAGAGCTTTCTGCAACTGTCGAGCATCCTGCAACCTTGAATTCTCCGTCCTATCTGCAAGTTCTCCGTCGTTTGCCATGAGTAAGTCTTCTTTAACTTTCAATTTGTGTTTGCTAACTTTTAATTTTCGGGTTCTTTCTCTTTTCCTCGAACCTCTTCTCGATTCTGGCCCCGTCCATTCTTCGTCCTTCCCGCTGTGCTCTCCCTTACTCTTTTCCGCCTTCTTCTCTGCTTTTGCTCTTTCCTTCGATTAA